TTGTTGGTGAAGTCATCTCATGCTTGGTTTTGGTAGGTGTAGTGTAATCCTCTTTTTTGGCCTTGCATACTCCATGCTTCATGCCTTCATGCCTTCATGCTAGCTTGTTTTGGCTATACTCTGTGCATGTTTTAACCTTGATTTAGCATGATCTAGGACTATTTTGGGTTATAATGGCCATATGCTTCATATTTTGCATAGCTATAGTACAAGTGCTTATGCTAGTTTCAAGCTTTGAGCCTCCTAGCATGCTTCATTTGTGACATGTACATGATTTGGCATCATTTAACATGGTATTTCAGAGCATGTAGCATTGCCATGTTCCCACTTCTTTCACCCTTTGAGTGCCTCTAAGGGTTGTGCATTGTTGCCTTGTTTGTGGCCTAGCTTGTATGCATGCAGGCTTAGACCTGTGAACTCCCATCTCAGCATGTTTTGGTCTTTGCTTAGACCTATTTGAACTCTGTCCATGCTTGGTTCATGCATTTGTGCCATGTATTGCATGTCTCTAGAGTAGTCCTCCTTGGTAGCTTTGTGCCTTAAGGACTCTTGCATGCCTTGCTTGTGTTGATTGAATGATTTGGCATCATTTCATACCTAATTTCAGTGCTTATAGTGTTGTTACACTTCCACATTTGTCACTCCTTGAGCACTTTTGAGAGTTGTGTTCTTATGCCTAATTGGTGAGCCAATACATGTGCATGCATTTCTCTTGCTTTCATGCCTTTATTTCAGCATTATGGCCACTGTTTTGGTATGATTGAGATCCGTCCATATTCGGTTTAAGTCCATTGGGCATGTTTTTTTGCATGTTGTTTGCATACTTATGTTGCATTGCATTGTGTATGCATGCCATTAGCATTGATAGGTTGCTCATGTCGCATTGCATTGTGGATGCATTGTATTGTGTATGCATGCATTACATTGTGTTTAGTATGCCTGAGTTGCTTTGCATGTGTTTGGATTGGGTGCTATTCCAAACACGAGAAACGAGGGACGTTTCATACTTGAAGTGATGAAACGTGCCTCAATTCTCGGTCGCCGACCCTCTTGATCATGCATGATAGAGGTCAAGGCTTTATGTGTTATTTGTGCATTCATTTACATTGAATTGTGCAATCTTGGCATCTCGGCCATCGTGCATTGCGATGCTCGGTTGGTGGCCCGAGAGTCGAGAACCGTACTCTCTTGAGCTCATTAAATGATAGGAAGAGTGGTTGTGCACACATATCTTGCAAATACATTGTCATGCCCTTTCTTGTTCTCTGTTGCAGCAAACTGGAAGAATACAGCAATAACTGGTCAACAGACCAGTAAAAGTGGCTGGCCGACCACTTTTTGTGGTCTGCACCAACTTTGGGTGGTCGGCAGGTGGTCTCCCACATCAACAACTAGTCGGCCATACTCCTGGAGGTTTCCATGGTGGAGCAAAAGCTATCTGGAGCTTTGTACAGTGTTCTGAGAACAATTGAAAACATAAGCAAGTTGGGGCATCGTGATGGATTTCCGAACGAGGCGACCGAGCATGCATTCGCTTCTCGCTCCGAGGCCCCTCCTATTTGCTTTACTTAGTTGCTTTGCTTAAGCTAGCTAATGCCTTGGTTTTGTACTTAAGTAGTTAATGCGTTTAGCTATCAATTTGTGTTGTAATAACTAGTTAGTTAGCTTATTAGTTAATTAATTTGTTTTGTAATAATTAATTTAATTAGCTTAGATTAGCTAGTTAGCTTATTATTCGGACCCTCCTACGAGAGGGCGTATTGTTGTAATAAGCGTGCGTGTGTGTGATGCATGTCTTCCAACCCCCATTTCTTTCTCCCTTTTACTTATCTGCTTTCAGTGGTTAGTTTTAGGGCATATCTCAATTAGCATACTTATGCTTTGCATGTTTGCATTCATTCATTCGTATTGCATGCACTGGGCTCGGCGCATCATACAAACTGCATTGTATTTCAATACCGATTTGAATACATGTTATCAAGTTGCATTTCATATGCTATCTTAGAATAGCCAAGCCTATCTTAGTTGCATTTTGCATGTGTTGCATTAGGCATTCTTGACATAGCTAGGATCATGCATTGATTACTAACTAGCTTCTTTTTTTACTCGGAGTACTAAGTAAGCTTTTACGATTTAGCATCTTGCATGCGTGTAAGTGTTACCATGTTTAGCATGCTTGCCATGAGGCTAACTGCTTAAGTGTTTAATTGCATGAATGCCTATGGATGAAGGTTTTATTGCTTGAATTGGGACAATTCATCAAAATGTGCATTTTAAGCCCACTTGAGAGTGGAAAAATCATGTGTTCTAAGCCCACTTGAGGGTGGCAAAATCCACGACTTGGCCTACTTGCGAGTAGCACCTCTAAACCGTTTTCAAACAAACGAATATGAAATGTTTTGTTCCAACTTAGGCGATCTAATCTATACTTGTATGCTGTGCGCATCACATAGTAAGCTAGCTAATAAACCGAAATAAGAACGCATGTGTTTTCAAAAATAACATATCATGTTAGTAAAGGCCGATCCTTTGATCGGGCAAACGGGGGTGCTCATTGCATGACCCTCCCCTCTCGTACGCAAGTTCCCGAGCCGAGGCAACTTTGGTGATGACGGACACGTGGCCTTAGGCACGAGCCAGGGTTTCCTAAATTTCTCAAAAATAAAATATTTAGGTGGCGACTCTGAAATCTGGCAAAGCAGTCCATGTTTGGCGCTTTTTGATCAAAATTGATTTTGCAAAACAATTTGCCGGATTTGGACTCTTTGGTGATTTATCAGTCTTACATTGCACTTTATGAGATCAGATTCAGAACCGTGACATGAGTCCGAACTGTAGTAGCTAGAACCACAATTCGCGCCCCTCGCGCGTGGAGCGAAGTTCTGGGCGGTCTACAGTGTGCCTTTGTTAAAAAGATAGAGATAGGCAAGGGCTTTGTTCTAATCAGAGCAAACTTAGTTTTCGGCATATTTGAGTTTCCTCCACTCCTTCTCTCATCTTCTAAAAACTTGAGGGAGGGATTCTTCGCATCTTCTATGAGTTTTAACTTTGTTATTTGCGATTTCTAAACAACATAGTGATTTTGGAGATTTTTTAACAAACCTAGGGTTTTGGGTAAAAATCAAAAGAGGGGTTTTTCAAATGGATCCTTGAAAACGACTATGATGTTGGTAAAAATGTTGAGTTAGGAAGAAATGGTTGATTTTGATACTTGGGGTTGATTTTGAAGAAAAATGAATTTTGCCCTAAATGCCTCAAATATTGATTTTGTATAAATAATGAAATTGATGTTGAAATTGTGAACTTGGATTGATATTGATGAGGATGGTGGAGTTGGATATGTATTATCACTCACCTCTTGAAATTTGGAAAGTTTATCTTTATTGAGAATTGTGTGTTTGTTTAGAAATATCTATTTTAGGTTATCGGTGAAAGATAGCTATGATTATTGTAGAAATTGCATGAGAATTAGGGGAATTGAAATTATTTTCTTATTCATTTGCATAGGTCATTATTTCACATTCATACATTGCACATGTATATTGTTTTGAAAAAAAAGGTGAATATGGGAAGAATTTGTGGTTGCATCAAACAAGTTGGCATGTGTATCCAGGGTAAAAGTCCCAAAAATCGCGTGTATACATGGTTGCCAATCCTGCGGATGAAATTTCCGTGAAATGGCAATAGTAGTGCTTGTATAGCCTACGTTTACATGGGTCCCGGCTTACGGTTTCCTCCGGACGAAATTTTCAAGAAAGGTTGTATTGTTTTGAAATTCCCAGAGTGTGATTCACTGCCCTATTTTCTATTGTAAAGGAAATGATTTATGAAGTATGATATTAATTTGGCATTACTTATGTTTTGGAAAAAAGAGATGAAAAAATGCTTTGGCGTGAGCATTGCACATGCATCCACCTTATAGCTTTGTTAAGATTCATATACTGTGTTAGATTATTTCTACTGGTCTTTGACTCATCCTATGTGGGAAAAACATTTCAGGAGTTGATGATATGCCTCCGCCAAGACAATAGCTTGGGAGGACTTGGAGCGAGAGTTTTTTTTGTGTATTTACTATATTTGTTTTTTGTACAAGCCGAGGGCTTTAACTGTATTGGACTTAATTCCACTTTTGTTGTAACCAATAATTGACTTGGAAAGTTGTAAGCCTTTAGGGCTTCTATTTATTTGTTTTACTTTCGTATTTTATCTCTTATTATACATATGCTATAGATTCAGGGTTAGACTTATGAATTTATACCTGCATATGTCACCTTTGTACAAGTGATTGGGATAAATGAAAGATAATTATTTCATCATATGTTATTATGAGATAAATATTGTGGATGATTTATGCCAATTATTTCGGGGCGGTACATAAATTTATGATCCAAACACAGCTTAAAAGAAACTTTCATACTTTAGAAAGAACGAACTTTTGATCTTTTATAATTCAAAGGAAGAAAAATTTATATAAAACATATTTCAGATATATTAATTTGATCTTTTAATTGCAAATTTAGCAATATAGTAAACAAAATTTTAATTTTTGGAAAAATCAGGGTTTGATAGTTTTAAAATACTTGTTTCTCAATGGTCTGGAGCTTGTTTTCCTTTTTGGATACTTGGACGTTAAAGTACCACAACCTCTACCCTACCCTCCGTCTCTTTTGCCAACCCCTTCTCATACACCATTACCACCCCTCCAATCCAACTAATCACCGACGACCCTTTTTCTACTCACTACTACCCTTCCCAATCCTCACCCTTACTCCTACCCTTAACTTTTGCTACGCTATCAAATCTCAACCCCCCTCCCAAATCAAACCCTAAAAAAAAGAAAAGAAAGAGAGAAACTTTGGTTCATGGATGGGGTAAGATTAGGTTGCGATTTGGTTATTAAGGTTGTAATCTGGCCTTCTCTCCTAAGCTTTTGTTTGAGGGGTTTAAGATTGTCACGCCCCGAATTTTTATTACACGAAAACATTACCAAAGCCTGTAAATTTAGGTCCATATTTTTTTTTCTACATATACAAATATCTATTACACTTGAGTAACAGAAATACGATAATACACGTTCTCTCTCTCAATGAATACAACAACAATAATACATGCCAATGCTTCTGCCACGAAGCTACAAATAAATGAATACAAATACAAATCCACTTCTTTTACAACTACCATGAAGTTGTACAAATGACTCAAGAACTCCGTACATCTTCAATCAAATAATCCAAACATTCTTCCTGTAAAAAGATACAACAACAACGGGGTGAGCACTAATGCCCAGTAGGAATCTCACAGTTCTAAATCAATAACTAACACACAGATAAAAATGATCATGCATGCTGGGTGATACCATATAGTAGGGTGACATTTCATAATCTCAAAATATCATAAGTAAGGTATCTTTTTCTCAAAAACAATTTAAACACTTGTAAGAAAAACCTTCAGCCGTTAAAAATCATCCCTTAACTTTAGAAAAACCATATGTCCTTGTGAAACAACCGTATTTAAGAAACAACATCATTTAAAGGTTAATAACCCATTTCCCAAAATATTTCTCATTTAACTTCCATTTTTAATGTTCCTCTTTTCCTTTCATTATACTCTTTTACTCTTCATTTTTAACTTCAAACCCCATAACTTCAAGTTCAAGTTCCTTTTTGATTTGCCAACAATTCTCCTATACTCAATTCACCCCATTAATTACATCCGCAAAGTTTCATTTCAAGATAACACAATGTTAATAAACCCTTCCAAGCCAACCCTTTATTTAATTAAGGAACAACTCTCACAATTTACTTTTATTAACACAACTACTTCGTTAAGTTTATCATCATAATCTATAATCCTCATATCTATTTTTTTGGTTCCCATTATTTATAAATAATGCCCATGCACATTTCCTCTTTAAACCAAATTATACATCAATATGAAATTTCACAAATTCATCACAAGCAACAAAAAAAAAAACATCATCAACTCAACTTACCTCTCAACACATAGCTCAACACAACCCACCTTTTGCTGGCTTACTACGGCGGGATGTGAACTCCCAAAAACCATTTTCGAAAACCAACCATTCTTTTAAAATAAATTTCCAAGTTCTGTAGAGTATTCTCACAAAGTATGTACATAGTTATGCTTTTTCCTCAACACAAAAGTAAATGTAAATGCAATGCTATGCCAAGATAAATCAATAAGGAAAAACATCTGTTCCAATGCATTGTTTCAAAATCACCATGTTCTCAATGTCATCATATGATCTCATCAATTTCAAACTTCCATCATTACTTTAAAAGGGGCGGTAAATACGACACTGGTAATCCCTAGGCTGGTGTCTGCAAGTAGGCTCAACAAGCTCTACCAAACTGTCATTTTTTACCGGTGCTAACCGGAAGGCTCGACACCTATCCGTGCGGCTTTCGGGTCTTTCACCTTGGACACTCATGGCCAACTTATCAAATCAACTACACCCCCTATCCGGACTTACCACGTGTTTACCCCATTCACATTTCCATATTTCTTATCCAAATCATTTTCTATCATGAATGCAAATCTCTTGGATTTAAAACCACAATGCACAATGATAAATGATATGATATGCAAGTGCAAAAATCTCCATGATTCATAACATCCCTTCTCAAATCAACCGTATACCATCAACATGGTCCCACCAAGGACTACACATGAAGTTTTCAAAACCATTTCTCCAACTCAATAAATTTAAAAGATTACCAGTCTTGCAAAACACATTATGGAATTTACACCCATTCATCTTCTATTCAAAGAAAGAAAGGAGTTTTATGAACATTTCCATGTTCCCCAAAAATCTCTAAATTTCTAGTGTTTTCACCAAAAACCAAACATTTCCATCCCCATAAAGAAACCCCATTAAATCATCCACTTGATTTTCAAAATAATTAAGCAAACCCACTAGGAATTTAATAAAATAATTTGAGATTAAACCCATTTTGGAAACTCTACATTTTAGATCACAAAAACCAAAATCAACATGATTCAACTCAACACCATTAAATATAATTCAACATATTTCAAGAGAAATTCTTAAATCCCATTTCAACATTTCATGACCGAGTTTATGTCATTTATATCATTAATAAATCTTTTCCCCCAATTTCCTTTTCATTAAAACATGATTTACAATGCTCTTAACAAAGTTCATTCGCAAATTTTAAACATAATTTTCAAGTAGAACCAAATTCCAATTAAACTTGTACATATATAATTCAACCTACCAATTTCATGATTCAACTTTCAATTTGGGCCAAATCATTGACTATCATCATAAATCACTAGGGTTTCAAGAAAAATCTAGAAATTTCAAGAAAATCAAATTTCTTAACCATTACTTTTTGTTCCAATCTTTCCATTTATTATACGCCCTAGTCCATCTAATCCATAAACCATAATCAAACCCATATAGAACCCAACATTTCAAACCCTAACCCCAAAATTTCATGATTTACACTATATGCCCAATATAGTTTTGCATTTATATATTCCAAAATACCACAAATCATCTATCAACGTAAGCATTGAAGGAAACTAGGACTCCTACCTCAAGATTCAAGCAAGAAAAGCAAGCTTTGAGAAGAATCCTCAAATTCAAATTTCAATCGGTTGAAAAATGTTGATCCTCTCTTGTTCTCCATCCTTGATGCAAGATCCATGGTGGATTTGTTGATAAAAGTGGAGGAAATCAAGGTTTTGGGAGCTAGGGTTTCGGACATGGAGGAGGAGAGAAGAAGAGAAGAAAAGAAAATGTAAGAAATGATCCAAAAATCACGTTTTTTAGCTGCTGTCCCGCACAGCCCGCACGTGTGCCGCTTTTTCCGCACGTGCGGTCCTGCTTCCAGCACAGATATGAAAACTTCAAACATGCGTAACTCTCTCATCCGGACTCCGTTTTAGGTCGTTCTTGTGTCCAAATTGAAGCCCCAGAAATAAGCTTTCCAATGGTTCTAACCTCACATTCAAATTCAAAGTATGGAAGGAGAAAAGGGCAAAAGAGTGACGGCTGATCGTAGGCGAATTATTCGAATTAAAGTTTTTGGTCCAATCTTACTTTACCATCATATTACCATCTCAATCAATACCCCAAAATAAAATAAGGAGGTTCCAAATACACTAATAAAAATGCCAAAAACGAATCCATGTGCCTCAGAAATTCAAACTTAACTAGGCGACCCGCTCGAGCGTCTAACCTTGCGCTCAAGCGCTCAGACCAACAAAGCCGTCCGCTCGAGCGGAAGGAAAAATTTCTAGATCGTTACATCCTTCCCTCCTTAAGAAATTTCGTCCCCGAAATTGCATCCGCTCTAACAAAATAGCAACAGCCTTATACTCACCAATTCTTAACGACCTCTAGTCCAAAAATAAAGCATGAGAACATCCACAAATATCCACCAAACCTTGACAACTTTCAATTACACCTCACTTCAATTCTAAACCCAAAATACAAAGCGTTATAGAGATCATGTAAGGAGGTAAAATGGAGGAAGACAAAAGAGAGGTAGGGACTAAGAGTCCGGTACAAGGGTTGAAGTGACTACATGAGGGTGTGAGAGATTATGGGTTGGCAGAGGAAGGTGTAATATGGGTGTTAGGGTGTGGAGAGTTTGCAGAGAGTCAAAGAGGGTAGAAATAAGGTTGGTGGCACTAACAAGGTAGTCGTAGGGTTGGTTGGGGTTGGAAAGGTTATGGATGAGGTTGTCAGCGCCAAGAGTGATGGTTGGCAATAGGTAAGGTTTACATGGAGCGAAAGAATGAGAGAAATAATGAGGGAAGATATTAGGATAACTTAGGCCTCGTTTGGGAATATGTTATTTTAGTAACTTTTTGGATTTTTGGCTAAAATATGAGGTAAAAAAAAAACTAATATGTTTGGAATGACTTTTTGATTTTTTATGAAAAGATGTACAAAAAGTAGAGAGAATAATCGTTTTGGTATAGGTTATAGGTTTTTTTTATTTTTTTAGTAACTTTTTGACTTTTAAGCTAAAACACTCGCTATGTATATACACATTTAGATACAAGATGAGTTCACGAACCAATAAAGTGAACATTACACAAGTAATTTCAGCTATAACTCGCAATGTGTAATTCAAATGTTATAGATGCATTGCAGTTACAAGAATGTCATGAGTTGCATGGCTATAAATCAATTATATATATAGGAATATTATGGTCATAATATTGGCATTCCAACCATACAACTATAAGCAAATATATATAACAATAAAGTTAAACTTCCACTTATCATTCCATGAATACAAAAATATTTTGCAGTAATTTCCTTGATTACAAATCAAGACATGAAAGAACTCACAGTTAACACAACAAAAAAAACATAGAATGAATATGATTAATGCCATTAGAATGCCAAGTTATACCGCCATGCGATAATGCAACATCATCATAAGCAAGTACAGTAATAAGACTATTATATTAGAAAAATCTGAAACTGTTTTACTAAATTTTCTCCCAAAACAAACCTGTTTGGAGATATTTTATATCGTCGGAAACATCTTGACTAGACGAATCTCCTGAAATTCTCAAAATACGAAATCCAACACTTCGCTTTTTTCAGAATTTAATTAATCGAATTAAATCGAAATGGTTAACAAACTTTCTAAATAACAAACAAAATAAATCTGAAATAAAACTGAACTATAAAGTGAATAACTAAATTCACAAATATGTCCAAAAATTATTATGCCTTGCCCCACGCAAAGGTAATCATGTTCAAATAAAAAATTAGTAGTCCATTTTACTAATTTCAATTTGTTTTGTTTGTTCGTATTATATATCCTCCTTTTGAGTTTAGGTAAACCTGTAGAGAAAGTTAACTACAAAATAAAATAAATAACAAACAAATCAAATAGATTAGTAAGAATCTTAAGAAATAAAGTTCTTATTTTTATCTTATCAATTCTTAATAACTTATGCATTAACAACCAAATAACTCATGTAATAACAACTAATTAACATAAAATAAATTGCATGAATAATTTACTAGAAATAAAGAACTCAAAACAATCCAATAACTCTAGGTAATTAAATTAATTTTAATTTCAAAAGTCACTAGAATAAAATAAAAAACACAAATAAAGAACTAGCACAGTGTATATCCTAGGTTCTCAGAAAACAGTAGCACACAATTTTTGTTTCTAATAATTAAACATTAATCTTTGAAAATTACATATGAATATGTTTTAAGATTATTAGTATTTTTCCATAAAAATACAAGAAAAATGTATAAAATGAATTAAATATTAATTACAAAATATTTTTTTTATTAAAGAATGAAATACAGAATAAACTACACAACTAAAAATATAGAAATAAATTAGATTACATTACTAATAGAACAAATTATTAACATGGATAACTAAAGATTAGAACTTATTAAGGTAAACTAAATTCTAAAAAATTTAAGAACAAATGATAAGAAAAGAAGCAAATCGAAGCCTGTTGATACCACAGTTTTCTTAAAACAGATTTATCGCTTCCTGATGGATGCTAGAGGTATGCCAGCGTCTGTCTCCCAGAATACGGCTGTCAAAACCAGCTAAAGCAGAAGTACCTTCTGAATAGTTTCGGTGAACATGATAATAGCTGCACTCTCTCTAACAAAAACTAAAGAAAGGGCTAGCAAAAGAAGATAAGAAAATTTTTCTTTGGTAGAAAAAAAACATCTCCAACTTTTTATCTCAAAACACCATTTCCATTTTTCATCAAAAATCTCTCCAAAAATTATCCTTCTAAGTTGGAAGAGAAATGCCTCTATTTATACAAGTAGGGGAATCCCTAGCCATGAAGGTTATGCGTCAATAGGGCCATCAATGCCATTAACCAAGGCCATCAACTCTAGCCATTAGGGCTAGAGTTATAGAGGTTGAAAACATATGGACACTAATATGGCCATCAACTCCATCATCAAAAGATGAGAGTTACAAAAATTTACATTTCTTATGTGCTTAATATATACAAATAAATATATATATATATATATAATGATATTTGAATAAACCAACTAGATGGGTCACAAAATGGATACTAATGTTGAGTCACAATCCGATCCAAGCCCAATTCTCAAACACATGCACAAGCTAAGCCCAACACAATATAATTTAGCCCAAGTTCAAGATTAAGTCCAAGGCCAAACCCAACACATGCACAAGCACAAGCCTAGACCTAATCCAAACTAAGATTAAGTCCAAATCTAAGCCCAACTTTATTGATGCCCACTTTATGAGACAATTTCCATTCACAACTCAATGGTTTCGGCTCATGTATTGCAATCTTCTCACTTAAGAGAATACAAAACCACTCAGACCCACCTCAACTGGCAGATTAGGTCCCACTTTAATTTCAAATTAAAGTTGCCGAAAAACTATTATCTCCAACAGAACATGGATGTAGTAGAAGTGGTGGTTTGAGATGGAGCTGTGGGGTGATGGCTTAAGGTGGTATAGAAAGGTGATACTATGGGGTGGTTCCATAGAGAGAGAGAGAGAGAGATTAGGCACAAAAAATAAAACAAGATAAAATAAATGAGAGCATAAGGGGCGTCAAAGTGTGTAGGTTGGTGGGGGTATTTTGGTAAATCTATCATGTTATTAAATGATGTTACTGACAAGGGAGTCTGTGTGATTTCAGACAATAGAGGAGTGACAATGTGATTTTAGAGTTATTGAGGGGGTGTTAGTGTAATTTACTCAAAAATCAAACATAAATGATCCGAAACTTTGTGAGCCTATCATAAGAAACATGGAACAAAAACTCATGGGAAATTTTGACATTGACATAAAAAATAATGCAAAATTACAGATTAATCTTGTTGAGTGGACTTAAATACCTATAAAGTTTAGATATTTTTTTAAATGTATAAAAAAAATTAAAATGCTTATTTTGCCCTCATTACTTATTTTATGAAGGTCAAGAGGCTAAGATATGTCATATCTCTCTCCCCCCATGAGCCTCACTTGCACCACCACTTGTCATTTCCACCGCCACAAGCAAGGTCGGCTTTGGCCCAAAGTCGGCAAAGTTGCCGCCTTGGGCCCCAAAAATTGAGCCAAAAAAAAAAGGGAACCTAAAATTGTTTTAGCTATTAAACAAGTCCAAAAAAAAAAAAAAAAAAAAAAAAAAAAAAAAAAAAAAAAAAAAAAAAGGAGAGAGAGAGAGAGAGAGAAAAATCCCAACAAAATCTGGTGAAAATTCAAAACTAATAGATAGTTGATGCGGTGAATTATTTAAAACAAATGAATGATTGCTTTTATCGGCAAAAATAAAAAGGCCAATTGATATAGTGAATTGTTTTAATTAACGGATGGTTGTTTGTCAAATGTATAGATTGCATACAAAATACGATCAATTATATCAATTACAGTTGTTTTTAAGGAAAGAATCTTTTCAAATTTAAAGTTGATTAAATTTTACATTCAGTCAACTACGTCATAAGAAATATGGAATGTATTAGCAAGTTCATCCATTGAAAATGATTTAGTTAATAAGTTGAATTATATAAGTTTGATTAACAATTTTGTAATTAAAAATACGAAAGAGTTGCGTGTACAGTATGTTCACTTTTTAATTA